GGCGCTTCCGCGACCACACTCCGTTCGAGAACGGCCACTTGACCCCGCCGATGCCCAACCGACGTTCACCAGACTCGGCCGCGGCTACCCGTGCCATTTTTTTCTCTCTCCTTGTTCCTTCTTGTCTTCTCCCCTTCTCTACTCGGTTGTGTCTGTCCTTCCCTCGTTCCTTTTTGGATCCTGTTGTGCCTTCTTCCAAATTTCCAATGTGAATCAATGTACTTGTGTGAATTGCCCCTCGAGGGACCACGGACGTGCGCAGGAAAGCATCGTTCCATCGCGGGTTTCGAACCTTTTCTCGGATTTAAGCCAGTTGCCACTCCAGCCATGGCGCTTCCGCGAGTGCGCCGCAGGTCGCCATCGTGCAACTTGTGTACCACTTTTCCATCTCGATGGAACGGAACAGGTACGGAGGTACAGAGCTACAGGCCATTTGATGCGATGCCATGCCATGAGCCAGTGCGCATCAAAATGAATGTTGGCAGGCCACCAAAGAGCATGAGAATGGTGCTGATCGATCTCGTATCTCTGCTCTCCTGCTGCTGCTCCTCCTCCCACTCCCCGCCCCCGTCTACACTAAAAGCCTGGGCTTTGCGGAGTTGGATGAACGTCACTTCCTTTTCCCCCAAACCACCCTTGACTGGGACGGCAGGTCCATCCCGGTCTGTAAGGTACGACTACACCACGGATTTACTGGCCGCACGCATGCTTCTTGTGAACACACTGATAATGTACTCTTGTACTGACCCCCATGGGTTCCCCTCATTGATGGCTCATCACTCATACTAGCAAGACCTCTAGTGCTTGCAGCTTTTTGGCCTTTTCTTTTCCTTTCTTCCCCCTTCCTCTTGGGATTGAAAAGAGGCGGGAAAAGGATCAATTCCGTCGCTCTCGGATTAATGCAATCCATGACGCCGTCGGTGGATCTTTCGTCTCTTCACGCTTTGGTTGCCTTTCTCCTAATCCGTACTGGTACTTCACCCTGTAACTCAGTCATGAATTTTATCCCAGCCGCCTAGATATCTATCTACAACTGACGGGAGCCGTCACAGCTCGGGAGAAAAGATGAGGTTGGCTTGTAAGAAGGATACAAGCACACACACCTAACAAGAAGGAAGCAGTAAGAAAACTCGTTGAAACCCTCCCGTCACTTTCGATCCCGCGACTATGTCCGTGGATGATGTGGTATCTTGCTGCGCGACCCAGGGCGCGCGTACCCTGCCAACGGACTCGACGTCTTTTTCTCATCCTTTCCTGGTTGTGTGCGTATCATTATCCCCATGTCGACCACTCTCCATGTTTGCGGTGGGCGAGAGGCATTGGGCACGTTATCATAGGCTCGCAGAAGTCAAAATCTAATTATAGGAAATTATTGATGTACGCTATGCGGGTGCTGGTCCCTTCGAGGGCGTGGCCGATGCCAGGGATGATGGATCCTATGATGATACCTAGTTTGACCATGCTTTGCTCACTTCTAAAAACGAAAACTAAAATACGCCTAGGTCTTGCGTCGGAATCTTTGCTGCGAATAAAGACATAGCCGCAGGAGTCCATCCCAATTGTGGCATGAGCTGAATTTTAAGCGCAATTGCGGGAAAGGGAAACAAAAGCATCTTGTCCGTACCATTCATTGTCTGGACGGGAATAAACCATGAGAGAAAAAACCTCTATCAATGAATCAAGGACTGATTGTGGTCCGAATTCCTTCACCATTCTTTGTATTGGTACCGCGGCTGTTGCGAAGAAAGACAAGACCATCCCTCGAGGAGGGCGGTATGGTAATTTGTTCTGCAATGGTTGGGGCGGTACAATCTATTTTCTCCAACAAAAAGCCATAACAGGCTATGACGGCGCCCAACCAGCAACGCCGGAGCCATATCAACTGCCCCGTTAACTGCTCGGCATGTCGTGGCTTGACCCGTCCTTGTCTTTCCCTGGACTTTGGGCGTTGAACTTCTTGATATGATGTTCCATTTGATTGTTGGCTTTCTGCTTGGAGTGTACTCCCTTGTTCTCGACCTTTCGGGTCCTACCCCCTTCTCGTTCGAGGAGAATTTCTCTTCGCTTTTGAGTGTTGGGGTGGTTTTTTAAACCTCACGGAAAACAGGCTATACCGCTCCTGGTATGCAGTGCAAGAGCGGAGCACGTTCCTACCCCGGTCCGCGTCTGCCAACTGGCCCATCGATTGATGCAACCCGGCCGGCTTGGCCCATCATGCTTGCGCCCATGTTCCCATGGATGCTTTCATGCTTGTTTCCCGAGGGTTATGTGTGTGCGTGTGTGCGTGCGTGCGGATGAAAAGAATGTGAGCTGATGGAGATCGAGTAGGTGATCAGAGGGCTCTACTTTTCCCTTTCCTTCTTTTGTCTTTTTGTTTCTCTCAATTCTTTGGGGGCCCCCGTTGGCACTCCCTTCGTTTTCCGCCCCCAGGCGGGCCTTTGCCGATTCTCACGACGGCACGAATTTCTCATATGTGTCCAAAGGCCAACCAGAGCCCGTGGCACCATATCCCAGGGGTAGCCGAGACTAGGCCTCGTCGACACCGCCGTCCTCTAAACCAGCCTGAATTGGAGTTAAGGTGCTTATGGGCAAGGGAATCAAGTTGGGTCAAGCATGGAAACTCTGCGATGATTCGATCACCCACCCACATTCAACCAGTTCCGGTTCGCCATTACGCGCCTTCATGGAGACCCTAGTTCAATGCCCCTTTCCTTCCACCGGCTACTCCTTCCTAACGTTGTGGATAATGCCTTCCTTATTCTTCTTGTGCTTCTTCTTGTTCATTCTTTTTTTTCTCCTTCTTTTTTTTTCTGTTAGAGGAGGCCAAACCAGTCGGTCGCGCATGCACATTTACACACATGCTGGGCTGGTGTAATGTGTGTGCTAACTGGGAGCACCGCACGGCATCGCGCCGCATCCGAACCCGCACGCTTGCGTTCAATGTTCGCTCTTAATATATCTCTATCCTCGGGCTTGGAATTGATCTGCTCAATCATCACTGACAACCCTTGAATCCCTTTGATGTACCTGTACAGTCGGTATTGTAGAGATCCTCACCCTAAACCCGCCCTTGTTTGCAACATGATTTTACAAGGAGGTCCAATTTGGTCGCCTCCAGTAAAGCCGTAGCTTCCCATCCTCAAGTCACATTGGATCCCCAATTGATCCCCACGGCCTCACAAGACTACCCAGTACCTTGCACCGCAAGCACACATTGGACAAGAAAAATCCATACCACCACACCACTCCTACCATCACTCGATCCCCTTTTCTGCTGTTATCTCCACCCCTCAACCGGGCAAGGACAGAAGAAAAGGATCCTACCCTTCCAGTGATCCCTCTCCTCGCGCCATTTTAATTGCCCTTTTTATTTTATTTTTTATCCTCCTTTTGTTTTCCTTTTCCCATTTTCAGACCACCCCATTCCGTTCTTCTGCTATCACCACCCACCTGTAATTGACTCTGTCTGCAAAATCCCCATCCCGCGCCCCGAGCTCACAGACCCTGCTCAACTGCGGCCTCCGTACCAAACTTTGAGATCGTTGCTGGGCTTTGGCACGCACCTTCGCTTGCTGCTCGCTTCCGAAGTACTTGAACAGCGCACCACCGACTGCAGGCTCTTCTTATGCAGTGCCTAGGATTTTCTACATCTCAGTAGCACAAAGCAGCTCGTGCAGGAGGGGAAATGCTAAAACGAAACGCTTGAGGGCAGCAAGAATCGCCTGCGCAAATTCAGCAACGGGGAAAGTATTCTTTTTCCCAGCAAGTAAGTCGAGTGAGAGATAGACAGCGCATCCTGTGGGTCAAGCGCCGGCACATACGTCCAGAGTGTCGATACTTTCCTCTGCCCACCCCCGCCCTATTATCATCCGTCCCACGAAGCGCCGGAAGCTTGTGCTGTCAGACAACATACATACCCTGGTACCGCTCACTCCACCCAGGCCTGCGTCTACAGCGTCTCCCTGCCTCCCACCCCCTTTCCTCCCGCCACTCTCGATTGCGTGTGTCCCTGTGCTTGAACAGACACCACTTATACTTGTGCTTGTACCGCTTTGTACATCACAATAAGTGGGCTCCAGTGCTTTGTTCCCGGTCATTCTCGATATTATTCCCTCCCCCCTCTTCCTTTGCTCTGCTTCTCTTCCTTCGCTTTCCTTACTTTCCGTTCTGTCGTTACGTCGCCACTTGGTCTAACTTTGGGCCACTTGCTCTTCCGAAGGTGTAAAAGGAAATAAAGAGCTTCCTACCTTGAGCAAGCCCTTCTACTCTCACCATCACCACCTCCGTCGCCTTCCCCGTAACCACGCGCGATCCCGACCCCGAGCGACTTCCTTCGAAATCAGATCTCATCGCCGAACAATCTTCCCGTTTAACGCATAAGCGACGGTACACCGAACACGAGGAAAGGCGCCTAGCTTACGCCTTTCCGCCTTTGCTGGCGCGCCGGGAACGGGCATCACAGGTGTTTCCCCTCGTGATGGTCGAGATCCTTTGAGCGTAGCTTCCCGTTGTGTCTCTTGCTTCGTCACTGTTTCCCCGCCTCAGCGCGCACCGGGTTCTTGAAGAAGCAGAAATCAAGCTGTATGTACTCCCCGACACAAAAATCGCTTTGTACTCCGTTACCTGTCCCGGCCCTCCTGCTTGTGTTCGCCCTTTTGCCCTTTCCTTTCCCTCTCCGCACTTGGCATGGCGTTGCGCATGGCGCCGAGCCGTGGACCCGGTCTTCAGTAGAGACAACGTTTCGCGAAAGCCCTCGGTTTTTTTCCTTTTGTCCTTCTCGATGCGCTCCACAGACTAACAAAAGAACCATGCTGGGAATCAGTAGCCCTTAGAGCATTTAAACTTGCAAATCCCTTACTCGAGTGAACTAATAATATCACCAACCAACCATGAGCGGCATCATCCCTCAAAGAGCGCGGCATCATGCCAGCTCCAGCTCGCAACCGTCAGGCGTACCAACTCAAAGAAGTAGGGGCGTCAGCGAGGTTTCAGATTTTACAATGCAGTCGCCGCCGCTGCAGCGCTATTTCGAGCCATGCGCGGCAACCGCATCCATGTTCCTCTATGCACAAGGCGCCTCGGTCGTCTGTTGTCACCACGATACGCTCACCATCGAACGTCGATTCGCGAGGCACTCCCATGAAGTACAACTTCTTGCCGTCGACAACCACAGCGAGAGTGGGGCCGGCCGGCTTGTTGTCAGCTATGATGCAGGGAAAAATGTCATCGTCTGGGATCTTCTGACGGGCGACGAAATCTCGCGCCTAGCTTCTCTGGACCATCACATCACCGCAGCCGCCTGGATGCGCAGCGGTAATGTCGCGTTTGGTAAGTTTATGCTGTCTATTCGGACCCCTTTGCCTCTCACTTTTATGCCTATGTTGTATCTTCCTTTTTCCTTTTTGCTTTCTTGCGTGCGCCTATAGCCCCAGTGGGGGATGCGTTTGCGATATTGCAAGCGACTACAGCCACTAACACAGATCCCAGGTAACTCGCAAGGCGTCATCATTCTCTTTGAGCCTAGAACACAAGAGCATGTTTCCTCTAGAACTATTGATCAAATTGCAGTCACTGCCCTCGCCCCCTCGGGAGATTGCAGGACCTTTGCCATTGGGTATGTCGAGTGGATTCGTCTCTCTTCGCCGCAGGTGGCGGCAAAACACTTGCAGCAGTCTAACATGGAGTTCAATTTAGATACCAAAATGGCCAGTGCTTGGTTGCGATCCTCCAGCCTCGATTCACAATCCTCCACAACCTCACCATGTCACGTTCTCCTTCCCCAATTGTGACATTGCAATGGCACGCTTCCACCCCACGCCAAAAATCGGACATGCTCGCATCCCAAACCCAGGATGGCGACCTCAAGGTTTGGAGTGTCGCCAAGACGTATAACGCGAATGAGCCGGCCAAGGTTGTCCGCTCTCTCAAACGAAACGAAACCTTCCGTCCTGGCCCAAATTGGATGGGATGGTCCAAGAACGGACGCATCATCCAACACTCTGAATCGTACGAACCCTGTCACGGAAACCACCCCCTCACCGTATATACTAACGAGCTATCTGCATGCAGTGAAACCATCTCCTGGGATGTAAGAACGAGACACATCACGCACGACATGATTCCCACCCTGGAACATGTACGCGGCATTGCTGTTTACGGTCCCGGCGCTTCACTATTTACGCTTGGAGCCAACAGCACAGTCCAGCAGTTTGATTTGAATGCACCCTCCATCATAGTAGCTAACGTGCAGCACCCGGTGAACCTGCTTCCCCGTCCCCGCCCGTTTCGCTCGAGAACGACAAGGCTACCACGATTGCCTCGGAATCCGAAATCATGTTCAACCCGAGCGATGTCGGAATTTCGGAGAGCGACGACGACTATAGCAAGCCAAGCTTTAGCCAGGACGAAAGCTTTGACGAGCGCAGCCTGAATTCCTCTCAGAACGGTTTTCCTTCCATGTCCGGCTCCCGCACACCCGGCCGACATGGCGGTTCGCTGCGCTCTCGGGGCCTGACTGAGCATACTTATATATCCGCCGACGATTCCTTCAAGTCTAAGCCGAAGCGTGGTTTCAAGTCTTCAGATCTGTATTCGCAATGCTCCTTCAGCAGTGTCTCGACGAGGTCCCATGTGCCCTCGCAAGTGCGAAATGTACCTGCCCAAGGCACCCCGTCGATTGAGGAAGCCCGAGTTGACGATCTCTTCAAATTCACCCGGAGCCGCCTCAGTGATATCCCGTACAAGGCAATCCCGATGGGCGAAGCCCGCCGTACGAATGACGACCTTCGCCGCCAGATGCTCAGCACAATTTTCGGGTGGCATAAGGAGATCGAGGACTTGATTGCTGATGAGATGAGCCGCCACCCCAACGGCTCCTCGAGTCGGATCATGTTGGCAAAGTGGTTGGGCCTTACTGACCGAGATATTGTCGATATTGGTACCGAGGGCATGACTTCCTCAGACTGGATGTTGCTGGCCCTCAGCGGCATGGGAGGCGGACAGCATACCAGCCAGCACAAGATTGGTAGGGCTTACGTCACGACATTACTTGAGAAGCGTGATGTACATGCCGCCGCCACCATTTTGATTGGCATGGGTGACCACAACGACGCCATTGAGATTTACGTCTCCCACAAACGCTACATGGAGGCGCTCATTCTTACATGCCTTTTCTACCCGGCTGTCTGGGAACGCCAGTGTGCCATTGTCAAGCGGTGGGGCGAGTCAGCGATTCAGCACGGACACCGTGATCTGGCAATCCGATGGTATGTACCCGCATCGATTTCTGTTTTACATACACTCAAGATATAACTTGCTAACGACCACAATAGCTTTGCATGCTCGGGCCAGGAATCTTCGGAACCCTGGGCATCACCTTCTGCTGTCCAGCTGACGTTCCAAAACCTGGGCCCCAGCATTGGCGAGGTGTTGAGCCCGCCGCTCTCCTCCCGGTCTTAGCCGCGGTCCCCAGCGGCCGGTTGCCAAGAATTCTGCGCTGAAGCTCATCACCACGTTTGAGATCAAGGTGGCAAAGCCAAGTTCTTCTCCCGCAATGATGACGGCCAGACTCCCATCGCCGCCGGGGTGACGCCCATCGCGGAATCGGCCATTGACCAGGACCCAATGACTGCCGTGATGCGCGCAAACCGGAGCGCTCTCAACACGCCGACCTCAAACAAATCGTTTGCCTCATCTGCCTACAATCGCGGCGCACACCTTCCGGCTATCGGAGAGGCCAATGGTGATGTCTCGGCCACGGCGTTGAACAATCCGGCCAGCGGTTATGGTAACAATGCCAACCCGGGGCCGTTGATGGAGAGGGAGACCTTGCGAAGCGATGCCTTTCAACACGCGCCACCGCCGGATGCCACAGTCAGCCAGAGAATGGAGCAAACTATTTCGAACCGCCGAAATGGATCACGGGGCAGGATTCCGGCTGGGTTGAATCTCCACATTGAGCCAAATTTGGGAACCTCGAACCCGGCAAAGTACCACTGGCCATCCCGCCGCCGAGGGCCCGGGTCTGTCAGCTCGGCCGCCTCCATTTCAACCACGGCTACACGCAGCACCCGTGCTGGATCCACGAGGCCGGCTGATACTTATATCCACAGTCTTGATGCGGCTTCCAACTACAATAAGAAAGGCAAGAGACGCGATGACAGCCAGGACCGGCAGACCACTGCTTCGGAGCAGTCGATAGATCGCGGGCGTACCCCTGTGCAATACCCGGCGAAGAAATCGCCCACCTCTCCCGTTCCGATGTCCCCTGAGGAGTTGGTGGTGTTGAGTTCTGCTAAGTATATTGATGCAGCGCCTCCCACGGCCGATCCCATCAAGTACCGAGAGTCTAGTACCAAGTCTAGAACCTCCAACCGAGGAGGAAGCCGGCAGCCAAGCCTGGAACGTCGCGCCGGCACCGCGGAGCCGCGAAATAGGACACCCGGCCCCCTTGAGACCATCCGCATCATGTCTCCGACCTCGCCGGCGCCCCTGTCGGCGAGGCCACAACTGGATGACACCGAGGACGAAGAGGATTACCGTAGGGCGGTGGAGGCTCAGGAGAAATTCCGCCTAAAGCACAGCATCAGCCGCGGCTTGGCGACGCCGACGACGACTACGGAAATGTCGCAGAGCCGCCAGGACCGGTCCCGCAGCCGCAGCCGCAGGAGACCAGCAATAGCCGCCCAGTCATGAGCTTCCGGGGTGGTTCGGTCGAGCACATGGGAGATCTCAAGGCTGTCAAACTTGAGCGCCAGAGACGCAAGGAGCAAGCTGCACGGGAGCTGGAGCAACGACGCCGGGAGCTAGTGGAGAATAGTCAGGCGGGCCCAATCACGCATCCCAGCGATCTCGCACCGGCCTTCCGGTACACGGCCGTAGAAATGTCGACCACGACAAACTCGCCGCCAAGGGCTAGGACGGCAGACCCAATGCAGGCCATGTACGGGCGGGGCAAGGCCGGCACCCCCAGATTGGCCTTCCGGCGACGCCCAAAGCCATGAGGCTAGTGCTCGACTCGGATCACCCTCAGGGCGGATCGTCGGCGCCCGCCGTACCTCCCATTCCGCAGTCGTATATGCAAATGAGGGCCGAAGACGACCGCTTGCCCTCGTCGGCCAAGTCCCAAGGCTCTCTGAAGAGGGAGCCCGCGGGATTGACCCTTCTCCCGTCGACGGTGTACCAGCCTCCACGTGGTCCCCTCCCCGCTCCATGTCGGCGCCGCCTATCCAGGACGAACCGGCGAGCCGAGGCCACCGTAGCAGCAACTCGCGATCGGGTGGCCTTGCGAGGAACCCATCTGTGAAGAGTAAGGGCACCGAGGACACTCAGGACGTGCGCAGCTTTTCCCGCCGCGAGTCCCGCGACCTGCAGCGACCCCCACCTCCCCAGGACCGTTTTTGAGGGAACTTCAACATCTCGCGATGCCACCTCCCCCGCCGGCTCCACTTGCCTTCGCGGCACCTCAGTCTCAGGGCAACGTGGCACTCGCCTCTGGCATGATTGAGATTGTCATGGACGACGACGCGGCTCAAGCACCCGCGCCGATCCACATCCCGCCCACCGAGATCATGGTGCCTATCATCCCCCCGGCGCCCCCTTCGGTCAAGGGACATAACCGCGGGCGTAGCGTGACGGACGCCAGCAGCCTCAGCGGACGCATTTCCAAGGCGACGGAGCGTCTCCGATCTGCGAGCCGTAGCCGCAAGGACAACAACGTGCGCACGCAAAAGTCGCCCGAGTTCGCGCCGTACGAAAGCATCCAGCCGCCTCATGGGCTTTACACGCAAATGGGCATGCGGTCCCCTCCCATCGACCCGAGCACGCTCCCTACCGGTCTTGGGAGGAACGAGATGATTTAGGAAGCCTCGTATCTACCCTTGGGTCCTTCTTCTTTGACGCCTCGGACGCGCTCCTTTCCCTTTTCCCCCATTTGGTTGCCTGGTAATCCCCTCTTCTGGGTTATCCCCATCCTTCGGTCGCAGCCAACACACCCCCTGCCCCTCTGCATCCCTCCTTCTCAATATATCTCGTCCCCTATCTTGAGTTTTTACCTTTTATTCTGCATTGCCGTGGGCGTTTTCTTTTTCGTCTAAAGGGTGAAATCTTGATACCAATTCCCAATCATCCCTTTTTTTTTTCTTCTTTCTCTTCTTCTTCCTCTCTCTTTCTTCCAAACTTCTCCTCTCAATGTCGAAACGTGTGGCGAGCGAGTCGTGTCTTGACGGGACGCGGCGAACGTTTTGAGGCACAACTCGTTGTATACTTCACGACTCTCTCTGCACATAACGGTAGAAACTCACCAATTGATTCAATTCATGACCTTATGATATCTTTTTACCCCCTTTTCTTCCTTCTTATTCCTCTTCTTCTTCTTCTCAAACACTTTATTTCTCCATCATTTCCATTACATGCGATTTTCACATCATCTTTTTTCTTCTTTTTGGCTTTTCTATCTTTGATCGTTTCTCGCGTTCGAATTGGATTCTATTCTTCTTGTTTTCTTCTTGCATACCTTGTTTTTCCGTTTTCTCCTTCATGAACCAGGGGATCATACCACGACTGAGGGGGATGGACCGGGAAAAGAAAGATTGCGCAGGTATAGTTGGGGGCCACCAGATCGGAAACCAAAAAGGGGGAGCGTGAACCAGTGCAAGGGATTAATAGGGCTTTAAGCAACATGCAACCGTGATTGGGAGCACGAGTGAAGAAGAGAGAAGGATGGTGAGGGAAGGGCAGCGGTGGTAGCGGTGGTGTAGGAAATCGGGTTTCCTTTACATGTCCTTCCCTTCTTACAATGGTTGCCTCGCGGCATCTTTGTTCAACGATATTGGGATTTTTCGTCTTTTGGTCGCTTTTTTGGTTCTTTTATTTTCTGTCTCGTTTTCCACTACAGTTTTACGCAAAAGATGAAAAATTTCCTCTTGCTCTCTTGACTTATATCTCGGATATTTCGGTGCCTCTTTATTTTTCTTCCTGCCTCTACATCCTTTCTCCCTCGTACAGGGGTGGTGAGGTACTAGGGATTTCCGCTCCGTTGCTTATTCCTTGGTATCGAATCTAGTTGAGAGAGTTTGCCGGCTTTGCGGCTGTTACACGAGTCTCGGAGTCTACTCTTCGCCACCCTCCTTCAGACATGCCGTTAGGTAGTTGTGGTTGTTGCTTCGCTCTCCATGATAGCGCCATGGAGAGAGGATTGGTGAAGGATCAACCGCATACGTAGCTGTTGGTTCCTGGTTTCGTTTCGTTTTGCTTCTTTCTTTTGATTTTTGTCTCAAAGCTTCTTTTTATCCCCTCTTAGGGGTTCTAGTTAGAGTAGTAGGGTATATAGGACGGGGGACAGTGGGCTGCGATCGTTGCCTCGATGGCTCCGTGGCTTTTAGTGCCCGGTCGATCGTCTTTCCTCCTTTAGAAGTAATATAGAAAAGTTCTTGATTTGGTTATTAAAGAGTGCCTGCCTGCCTTATACACATGTAGTGAAGCCAGAGAATTATATAACTACAGTAGATAGTTCACAGGTTATTAGTTATAAGAGATAAGCGAAGACTTATAAAAGCAATAGACAGTTAATAAGAACATAATTTATATAAAAAACCTAAGGGGGCAGTAGAAATAGAGATATAAGTTAAAGAAGGAATATAAAGTTTTATTCCTACTAACCCACTATAGTGTCTGTCTCTATGAAAGTGGTGGTGGTGGTGATAGCATCATCTACAATAAAAAAAAAGGCAAAAAAGGAGTTGACATCTCCATCTCATCCCCCACCCAAATCCCCGGCGATCGTAATCCAGCGCGCCACGCGACGGTGGGAATGTCTCTGCGGAGTGAGGCCTCCCTGGAGATGGTCATTCCCATTGCTTAGGGCTGCGAGCAGCATCGCTGGTTTCCCGAGCGAGTGTGCAGCCACCGCGAGCGTTCGTGCTGGGCGTCGAACCGGGGGATCTTACGGGCTTGGTGTGGGAAAAGGACGAGAAATTGTGAAAGCCTTCAACCATTATGACCATTACAGCCGGGGTATTTGCGGTTTGTTTTGGCTTAAGTAGCTAAGACGGAGAGTGCTGCAGTGTAAACCCTGGATTTACCCGAACCGGGTTATGTAAGCAGCTCTGCTCTCAGCTTGTTTCAACCGCGGACGCTATTTTGTGTGCATGGCAGGCACATGCTTGCTTCTCGCAAAAAACGACGGCGAGCCATCAAGCTAGATCGGACCCGGGGGTAAGCGTTGTCCGTTGATCTCTTCGGCTCCAAGGCCAAACCAAGCAGTGGTCGGCAATGATTGAATGAACGCCCCCATCGTTACAGAAATCCCGGCATTGGGCTCCCGAGCGCACACATAGAATCAACGAACGGGAAAGACGCCCCCTGATCTAGAGCCCGATTTCAAACGAGAACGAGAGGGTACACCCGCCCGCCCAATCCCACCTTTGTCTTGAGCACAAAGTAGAGTCTCTCCCAGAGCCCTCATTCGCCATACGCCACACCTCTTCCACCCAAACGATGCTTACGACGAGCCCCCGCCTCCGCACCCGGCGGCCGAGCCCCACGACCATCGAGTACACCCTCTCCACGCGGCCCCCGCCCGGCGCCCTCACCACGATCCTCTACACCCTCGTCTTCCTCGCCCGCATCCTCCTCCTCTCCGCCGTGCTGCTCCCCTGCGCGCGGCTCCCCAACCAACCCGGCGTGCTCGCGCGCGACATCCTCGCCCGACTTGGCCGCCCCGCCGCGCTGGCTCTAGCCTCGACTGCGCGCCTCTCGGGACCCGTCCTAGCTGCGGGGCGGCCGCCGCCGTGTTCGCCGCCATGGCCCTCGCGCGCGTCGACACTACCGAGTCGGTCTTGGTCCTGCGGGGCCTCGGCATCCAGACGCGGCCGTCGCGCGGGGGCGCGGCGCGCTTCATACCCACTGAGTTGATCCGCGATGTGCTCGTCAACGAGGTCTTTGTCGGGTTCGAGGTCCGCTTCTGCCTTGTCGTCGTGGTCGAGGGTGAGGAGGACATGGTTGTCCTGTTCCCGCGGCTGATGCCGAGGAAAGACGTGATACTCAAGGTGTGGAGGGGCATCCGGACGTGCTTATTTGACGGCGAGGGCGACGTCTTGCTCGTGTCCAACGGCAAGGTGTGAGTTGAAGTGAAGAATAATATATACATCTATAGATCGATGGGACTTTGGGTATTCTAATGGCTAGCTACGGGAGGAAATCAAGTTGGGGTCGGGATGGATGGCGCCGGTGGACAAAGCGACCGAGCATTGCACCTTTGCATGATACCCGGCATATTTTTGTCTTTTTATTTTTCCATCTATATAAATGCATCATCTACCCTGGGAATCGCCGTCAAAGAAGGGCGCTTCATAAAAATACCAATTCATGCTTTTTTACTCAAACGAACCCCAAACCCACTAGGCTTTTCTGGATGCAAACCACTAAAGAGAGCCGTCTCACTTTTGCTGCTGCTGCTGCTGCTGCTCCTCCACCCCGCCGCCGCCTTGGCCCTCCTACTCGCCCGCACATCTTTAATCGCCTTCCTCCACCCATCCGTAGCCCTCATCGTCTCCGCATTCTCAAAGCCCATTTTCTTAGCGTACTGGTCATTGACCTGCTCCGGCGTCATCATCTTCTTCAGCTTCGGCACGGGCACGTAGCTGCCCACCAGCCTCCCGTTGTTGCCCCCTCAAACACCTTGGCCTTGACCGGCCGGCCCTTGGGCTTCTTGTTGCCCTCGCCCTTGACCTGGCTGCCGTCCGCCGCCGCCGCCGCCGCCGCCGGAGCCGCGTCACCCGCGTTCCAGCCCCCGGGCGGGTCAGCCGCGGCGATGAGCCCGGCAAGCTGCGCCGAGAGGATCACGTCCACGTGCCGCTCTCTCCAAGTGGACCAGGCGCTGTCCAGCACCGCCATGGTGCCGTAGTAGTTGCCCTCGCACTCCCGGCTGGGATACACCCAATTCAGCGCGTCGCGGCGCGCCGGGTCCGACTCCTCGGGGAACACGCAGTCCCACAGCACGAGGGGCACGTCGTGCGCCATGATGTACGTTGTCCGGCTGGGCGTCTTCTTCACGTCCAGCATGTCCGAGATGAGCGACGCCGGCTCCAGCCCCTGGCCCACGAGAAAGAGGATCGACACCATGCACCGGATCTGGTGCCACAGGAACCCGGACCCTTTGACCACGAACGCGTACGTCTTGGGGCGCGCGGCGGGTCCATCGAGAACGGCAGCAGCAGCAGCAGCAGCAGCAGCGCTACCGCTGGGCGGCTGCATCTCCGGAGCGGAGAGAAACGGCAGGTCCGCATGCGCGTCAGGCACCTCAACGACGTCGGCGGCAAAGATCTCGCGCTCAAAATTAGTCACCTGCTTCGCGGCATCCACCTTGCAAAAGTTGCGAAAGTCGCGCACCCCGACAAACAGGCGGGCGGCCTCGCGCATCTTGCCAATGTCCAGCCACCCGTTGCTGCCGGCCGGGTTATACTGCGACGGGAGGGGCAGGAACGAGGGCTGCGTGAAGAAGTAGCGGTACTGCCTCTCGCGGCAGGAGAAGCGCGCGTTGAAGTCGGGGGCGGCGTCGGGCACCACGCGAGGATGCGGATGTCGGGCGGGAGGAGCTTGTTCAAAAAGGTCGTGTAGTTGATCTCGTCCTTGACGTCGTCGAACGGCTTCTCCTCCTCCTCCTGCTGCTGCTGCTGCTGCTTCTCGGGCAGTTCCACCTCTGCTTCCGCTCCGACGACCCTAGACTCGCCTCCATCAGCGGTCGTCGTCGTCGTCGTCGTCGTCGTCGTCGGAGTTGTCGCAGCGGCAGGTTTCGGCAGCGGTCTATTGCTCCTCACCCGCAACGAGATAACCTGCCCAAACGCGCTCACGCCCCGGTCCGTCCTCCCGCACTTGGCGTAGTCGCAGCAGGTAAAGTCGATGACCTTCTTGTCCTTGGGGTAGATGAGGCGCGCCGTCACCAGCGCCTTCCACAGCTCCTCCTCAATAGTCGGCATCTCCGCTGACGCCTGGAACTCGAATCCGCCGTAATTCTTGCCCAGGTACGCGAGTTTCAGCGCGATGAAGCGCGTGCTGTACTTGGAAGGGTCGATCTCGGCCGGCTTCTTGATCTTTTTCTTAGGGACGGCCGCCGCCGCCGCAGCAGCAGGGTCGCCTCCGTTCTTCGGAGCAACCGCTTCCGCCTCCGCCACGGCCGCCGCCGCAGCGGCAGCGGCTGCTGCTGCTGCTTGCGCTTCCGAAGCCTCGGTCGCGGCGCGCAGCTCGGCGTCAATGTCCACGCCGCGCCTCTTGAACTCGTTCTCCAACAGGTTCAGCCGGTCCAGGAGGTCGGTGCGCGTCCAGCGCTGGTACTTGGCCGTGAGGTCCGCCATCTTCAGCGGCTTGGTCAGCCGCGATCCCCGGAAGGATCGCGCCTCGGCAGCGTCTGTTTCTGTTTCTGCTGCTGCTGCTGCTGCTGCTGCAGCTTTCGTCGTCGCGCTGCGCGCCGCGCTGGGGATCGTGAGAGGGGCGTCACCTGCGCGCTTGGGAGCTAGGGCGCCGAGTAGACGGTAGAGACTCTGGAAGGGGAGAGAGGAGCGCACGCGGAGGCTTGGACGAACGATGTTCATAAAAAGGAGGAAAAAGGGAATTAAGGAGGGCTAAGCTGGCTCTCTCTTCTTCTTCTCCCCTTTCTTCACTAGTACGTCATAAAACAAATCCTCCTACGGCGCGGGGTCTTCTCTCTCTTCTTCACGATGACTTATTTTTCCCTTGCTCTTGTTTTTTTTTTTTTTTCCCTTTCCTTGCCTCGACGCACATCACCACACAAATGACTCCTTTCAGCAAGTGATGGGGAATATTCACACTGTACGGGACCATCGAGGACAGTTTTATTAGATAAGCTTTCCCGGGGACCCCATCCAGAAAACTCTCTCGCTCGCTCGAACAAAAAAGTCGGAGAGATCCGAAGTACCTGCCCGCCAAGGTTCCTGATAGTGACAAGTGAGAATTGGTAGCGCTAACGAAACCACCTCCAAATCAGAACCCGGCGTTGCGCGGGAGAAAAGAGGTGAGGACAAAAAAATACAAGGGCGCCATCCGTTATCAGGAGACTGGGGTAGGAAGCAAGGGTACACACTATGGATGACGATAAGGAAGAAGCATGGAAAAAAGAAGCTTATACATAGGTTGGCGCGCCCCTCGCGCGTTATTCCGCCTACAAGTAGATGACGGCTTCAGTTCTTGGTGGATTGCGCTTTTATTCGCATGCTCCTTTTCAATATCTTTTCTTTTCTCGTGTAGCGAAGAACATTGAAAGTTTAAACCCCCACATTATTCTTTAGTCTTTGTCCTCCGTAAGACGCCTCCACTAGTCCCTCTCTCTACCTCCCACTCTTCCAAACGACCTACAGGGAGCCAGTGATAATAGCGCAAGAGAGTCCCGAAACGATGGACGCAGACGCGGATGTGATCTCCATCGTCTTGGCCGGCGACACCCGGTGCGGCAAGACGACATTCATCTCGTAGGTGTATAAAAAAACGTGTCTAGGCCGTAGATGGGAGCAGCCCTGACGGCGCATATGGAACTGTTGCTAACCATGGAGGCTCGCGATCCTTCTTTGTTCTAGGCGGGTAAGCTCCAAAGACAAGACTGGCGACTTCACGATCCTCCGCGACCTGGACCAGCCCTTCATATTCAATCTGAACCAGGTTAACCGGCGGTTCCGGCTCGAGTTCCGAGACACCTCCGGCCCGGATAGCTGGCAAACGCAGGACCCTGACCTCGTCATCTTGTGCTACGATATCAGCCAGCGGTTGAGTCTCATCAACATGAAGCGATTTGTATGTAATTTTTTTTTCCTTTTTCTTCCTTCCTTTCTTTATTTCCCTTTCCTCTAGATTTGACACGTCTCCCTTCCTATGCTCGATCTCTTCCCAACTCCCGCCACAACAAGCGTGATCATTTCTAGAAGGTGTAGCTTACTCCCCAATGAAAACCAAAGTGGATCAACGACGTGAAAAAGGCCTTTAACAACAGAGACACGCTCCCGGTTCTCATCCTTGGCCTCAAGAGAGATCTGCGATCAGAGGACGATCCCAATGGCATCATCTACCCGCAAGAGGGCTACCAGACCGCGACCGAGTTGCGGGCAGACAAGTACATGGAATGCTCAGCTGCAACAGGTGAGCTGGTAGATCTTGCGTTCGAGGAGATTTGCAAGACGGCCCTGAGCACCAAGTCGGCGGATGGTGGGCAGAGCGAGGGGGATGTGTCGTCATATAAGGACCCGTTTTGTGGAGAGCTGGGCCATCCATCACATCATGGCACAGGGCTCTAGGCAAGCGCGATGCCATGCAACAAGGAGAGAGCCAGACGCTTCTGAGACGAGTCTTCAGAAATACTTGTGTGACATTGCAATTTTGCTCTTTTTACGGGCAGCATCAAGACGCACCGTTGGCCATGGACACGTCTCCCTCGGCGGCGCTTTCGCTGTCGACAGCGCCAAATCGGCCAAGCACGTCGACAACGATCTCGATAATGGCCTCTTGCTGCTCTAGGGTAAAACGCTCCTCGAGCTCTTCGACGCTAGTGTTCAGGTTCGCGACCGACTGGGGCCGCAGGTTGAAGAGCATGACGACCTCGGCTTTGGAGAGGCTGTAGGGCCGTAGACGCTCAACGAGCGCGGCCACGCATTCCGGCGTGTACGTGATCGGGTTCTGGCTGAGCGGGTTCGGAGGTGTACGGAAGTACTGGAGGATCTATAATCGAAGGAGGAGAAGAGAGAGAGGGGGGTGTGAGCCAAGTGGAATTAAGGTGGACAAGCAAACGACAGCCACGCGTCTCTTGGCCCGTTGGCTGCATCCAAAGACAAAAGGTACGAATAAAAGGCCAAAGGAGGGGTTGCCGTAGATGTGGCAAAAGCCAAAATGCATGGCCTGGAATGCCACGCTGCCTCGAAGCAACTTACTCGGAAGATTCGCGGGAGGGTAGAGCGAGGGGTAGGGGAGGGGAGGGGTGCTATGTGTGGGGTCCACTTGAACCGACAGGAGGAGCCTGTTGCCTGTTATCGGTTATCAGGGACAAACCATGGGCGTTGAAAGTTTTTTTCGTCCTCCCTTCCCGTTTTTAGACCACACAGCTCCGCTATAGGCAGAAGAGAAGGTGTGAATCCAAAGAGAGCACTGAAAAAGAAAAGTTTTCAAACTCACCTCTCTGACAACAGTCTCTAGGTTAGGAGGGCCTCGCCGCTTGTCTTGGGCGTACCTCTCTCTCTGCTCCGTCAGATGTTTGTAGACCTCATAATTGGTCAAGACGGCGTTCTGAGCCTCAAGGATCTTCATCGCGCCGGATGTCACTTTTCGGATTCCCTTTGTCAGTTGCCGAGAGCCTGGCAAGGAAAAAAAAAGAATGCGGGTTGCGAATGGGGTGGAGGAGGGGGGCAAGGTAGAAGAGAAAAAGGTGAGGGGTGGGAATTACCCAAGGTGTGGCCGTGGGCGCGGGGGGAGGGGAGGGAGACGAATAAGAATGCCCGCTAAACTCGGAAAAGCGCAGGTCAAAGGTGTCAGTTGATTGAAAGCAATGCTGAGAGGCAAGCAAAGACGCTGCTGGGAATTGGGTCTTTTTTTTTTTTTTTTTCCCTCGTTTAATTGGGTGTCCTCTTTCCTCGTGCTTTTCGAGGTCCAACTTTGCCGAGATGGCTTCGGGGTTGGAACTTGAAGTCGGCGGGCAATTATGCACTTTTGGCGGGGCAGAGAAAAGATCCCGCCGCGCTGCTTCTTGTTAGTCATCGTTTTTTTGTGCCCAGTGCAAGTGGTAGCGAATGCACCTGAGCCGGGCGTGAAAGGATTATCCTTTTGTTCTAGAGATGTAGACATTGATGTGCTGATATGGATGCTTTAAAGTTCAGCACTTGAGCCTTGGAGGAATCATCAGCGTAGCCTGCGCTCCCGAGCATTCATGTCATCGTCCTAATACCTGAAATTAGATCAGTCACAATCTATCAGTACATGTAGTGACAGAACAACGTCAGACCCTCTAGGGCTCAGATCGACCAGCTCAGACCAAGTGCCTGTGCTGTGTCTCGGCCTGCTACACTGACAGGAGCTCAATAGTGCATAGTCCTACATCACCCGCTAGAAAGAGAAAAAGAAAAGAAAAACGAAGGGAAAGGTAAGGAAGAAATAACTCTTGAGCAGTTTACGAAGAGACAGCACCGTCTACTAACCCTCGGCATCCGAGAGCACTAACGCACACATTTCTTACCATCAAGTCCAGGTGACCGGGAAATTGATCCATCTAGCCATCCATTCATGAATAGATCCATAGATAGATCCAATGGTGCTACTCTATGGAGTCTCGAAATGGCCACTGGCGGCTCTCATCCTCCCCCGCCTCTTCATCTTGGTGCCCCTCTCCCCCACTCACCAAATAACCAGACTGGCTGGCCTTGGGTGGTGTGTTTGGTAATGCAGGCTCTCTTATTAGAGGGTTCGGGGGTCTGCATGGAGCAAGCTCGTACTTCCGAGATCGAACATGGAGGCGGTGAAACCCCCATGGATCAAAGGGTAAGCCTGGCAAAGGGAGATTCTGCCGGTGGCACCCCACTTTTCCATTGATCACCTCAACTTGGAGGCACGCCGGGCAAAGGAAATCAATTATTTCCAGAAGAGCCAAAGGCCGGCAAGACAAGGTCTATATGCCTTTGCGTTCTGTTTTCCTTCTCTTCCTTCTCTTCCTTTTAGTTTTACTAGGTCCACATTAGCCAAGGCACACACACGCAGAAGATCACACCATCAGGCGGTCATGGTCATGGCTGGCCAGCCATGGCTCGGCAAGCACCCTGGGAGCCCTTCCAAAGGCTTGACCTGGCAACTGGCCAGCCAGCTCACCCACGCACACCGCTAATAATATCACAAGCAAAAACGGAATCGTACCTGCGAACAATATGCAGAACATAATAGTGTAAACGCAGCGGGAGCCTGAGCCCTTTGTTCCTATCCGTTTGTCATGCATTTAGTAACACGAGCGGAAAGAAGACAAAGGCGTCTCCCTCGGGTGCCTTGGAAATACCTCCGATTCTCGGGCATACCAGTCTCTCCCTGGTCTTCGCGGTCTCTCTGGTCTCTCTGGTCTCTCTGGCTGCCTTCCATTGATGTGGTATTATTCCTAAATCTCACTTCGTTTTTATTCGCGGCTTTGAATGCGTGGCCGCTCCTTCAAACAACTCGAAGCAGCCGCTGGGCTGCCGATGACCCATGTACTCAGTCAATCAGAAAGCAATCGTCGTAACACCCTCTCCTAGGAGGCACAGAAGAAAAGGCTGGCAGGCACCGAAAAGATTACAACAGTGTTGCATCGATGCCAATCGATGTGTCAGTGGGGCAAGGCGGTACTTGGACTGGGACTGGGGCGTTTTCCTTCATTTTCTTCTTCTTTTTTTCTTTCTTTCTTTCTTTTTCCCTCCCTTTTTTCTTTGGGAGGGCCTTGTGCGCCATCGCTACGAGTGATGGGGCAAGCAGAAGACGCAATGGAATCGAGAAATGTCACTCGGCTCATTTGCCGCTACATGTCTTCTTTCGTTCTGCCGGGAACCTCATGACACTACTAGTGTAGACTCGCGAGCTAGAAGCTAAACCCTCAAAGATGGGTTTCGGTGGATCTCGTCCCCAGGATTCTCGGAACTTTCAGGAACCCCAGAGGAGGGGTGGCTGAACGAGAACCCGCTCCTAGTTCGCATTTGCCAAGTTTCGTCCTCGTCGCGGGGGTGGGCTATAGGCCTGGTTTGTCGTGTGTCCTTGAGCCCCCGGGCCCGGGCTTGGGAGGTGCTCATGGGCAGGTTTGTGGTTACTTGTGATGCGTGACTTCATCAGATGTGGCTTTTTCATCATCGTGCCGACGAAGCTAGGGAAGCTGGTGGAGGTCAACTCGAGACCGGTAGGTGTTTCCATAACAATACGTCCTCCATGTCATTCTCCCTCTCACTCCGTTCCTACACGAGCTGTTTTAATATTGCAGAATGATGTACGAAGTATGTTGACGCATTTTCTTCCTCTTCTCATGTTCTTTGTTCTTTCCTCTTTTCCTGGATAGTCAAGATTGGGCTTTCCGTAATATTCAACTGCAACCTTCTCGGTTGGATGTGGGGTAGCAAGCCCGCGGGAAAGATCCATGCACTCGCTCCTTTGTCGGCGCTTGCTGGCGACAGATTGAGGCGAGAGTGAAGCTACTTCCGTGGAGTGGAGGACGAACCTTGCGTGTGGCCCTGCCTTGCCCCTGCTGCATTGGAGCTCTTTCCATTTATCCCCATCCCTTACTCAGTCGCGGTTAACGCTGCGTGCGAATTTCTTTGAAGCATCACTGTATTATTATCCTCCTACATCGGCCCGTGACCCTCCAAGCATGGGGTGCTTGATTCCTGCCGGCCACCCCCTCTACACTAACCATTTGAGCAAAGTCCCCCTTGGCTCGCCTTGCCCGAGGTCGCCCCTCTGCCCATTCGATCAGCCAGCCAACCTCGTTTAGTGTAAAGGTTTGCGCGGCTTTCTTGTCAGGGAAAGTAACACAGAGAGAGGCAGGCCCGGGAATGTGGTAGACTTTCTTCTGTTCGGAAGCTACGTGTGAAGGGGTAGGAGACAGCTGGAGCCGATCGGAACCTTCGCTATCGGGCCAGGGTCATGACTGTGCTACCGATCGGTCCAACGAGGCGGGCTGTGGCAAAACTAGTGGTGTGTCCGCCGTGTCCTGACTCCAGGGCAGCTGAAGTTTCGTCCCGGCGATGGGCGAATGGCTAGGTTTGGGTGTTGTCACCTTTCGCCCTGTTGTCGCAAATGTCTCTTGATGACCTCAATCAACTTGTACTTGGGTCACCAAGTACCAACGCTGGTGCTTGGAATCACTTGTACATCACTCTGACCCAGCGGTTGGCCCCCACAGCACGGTTCCCGTCCCCTACGAGCAAGCTACAGTGGCGGGATACATGGTCAGGAATGAGGCCAGGGTACTCCGTCTGTACAATGCATCCACTAATAGAAGTATACGCAATTTAGTCAATCAATGCCTCCTGCCATCCTCCAGTCACCCACATGCGCGCTTTCCCTCAGAGCCAGTCGCCTGGACCCCTCCTCCTTGTTGTGGTCAAGTTTGATTCTCGGTCTGTCCAAAGCCCGTCCGCTCACTGGGCAATCCGCCGCCCGCCGTCACTGGAACTGCCACTGGGGATTGGAGTCACCTTTTTTGCGGTCTTGAATTTTTTTCGCTCTTCCCTTTTTGCTCATCCTGCGCTTGCACTGGCACCGAGGAAAACTTACAGATACATTAAACAACCCTCCTCCTCTTGCCCTTTTTTTTTCCTGCCAGGAACCGTTTTTCCCTCTTCTTTACATTCTTAAACACCATCCACACCAGCAAGAAGGCCAACTTGGAATATTCCTCATGCCTCCCTTACGCACCGAATCGGTTCTCTAACCCTCCCCGAGCCCCCTTGGCACAGGCATCTCTCCACTCTTCACTCTCCACTTGCCTCAACCCTCGCTGCTTACCGTCACCAACACCCGGCGTCTCCACGCGCGAGCAGTCCGTCTCCTGTTCCGAAGCCCTCCAAATTCCCACTTCTCTCTCTCTCCCCTAGAACAAACACCAAAGGCAGCTCCCACCCACCGCTCTGCCGAGGACTCCTCTTCCCCAGCTTCATTCCTACAGGCTACATCATCGGCTCTGAGTAATTGCTTCTTCCGGCTCCGGAACCCAAGTTATTTGCCAGGCACACCGCGCCACTACGGACCATCATCACTCATACCTCTTTACCCAGCGGGCCTTCCTACCCGCCACTCCTTCCACCTCCGTTCCTTAATCTCTCAACTATCCTCGGCATCAATTGTGCCCTCTGGCCGTAGGTTCCGATTCAGTTCGGCCCCTTCTCCTCTTGTGGGTAAGCGTCTCTCACCACCCACTCACCTCTCTCCTTTCCGTTCGTGTTTTCTTTTTCTTTTTTTTTTTTTTTTCCTCGCCTGATCGTTTTCGCCCTTCCTATCCCTGCAGGCCTTTTTTTTTTTTTTTTTCCTCCCTTCCCCTTCTTAGCTCGCTCAAGGCAGCCTCCGGGACTTGCCTGGTGAGCCGGAGAAGCCTTTCACCGCCCGCCCTCAATCCAGCCAAGTAACCCGGGCAGAAAAAAGTTGTCGCATCCGCACCATAAGTTGACCAGGAAAACTGACTCGATGCTTGAAAATCCCAGACACCAGTCCTCATTCTTGGGCCACACAGCGCTCCGTCGCTCACCCTCCCGCGAACTTCAACTTCATTTTTCTCCCGTGAGAAGTTGCTTCGTGGACTGACGTATCGAGGTGTTCGATTGCCCGATACTGATTTCTTTCCAATCTTACGCATCTTCCAATTAAGCGAAAGAGCCGCACACGCCGATTTTTTTGTGCGCACGCGACTGAGCGATACTTTTCCTCACTAACCCACCCCTCCTTCGCCCCCTCGATACGCTACCCATTACGACTTACTCTAGTCACGTCACCGTCACCGACGCCCCTCTCCACCCATTTCTAGTTTAATCCCTGGCCTTTCTTGACCTCTTTCAACCTCCTGACACAACGTCCAACCTCCCCTTCCTTCACAATGGTCAGAAACATCGTTGTTCTCGGCGGTAACTCGCACCCGCAGCTTGTCGACAACATATGCAATATTCTTGGCGTCCCCCACTGCAATCGTATCCTGACAAAATTCTCTGGTGGTGAGACGAGGTGCGTGAACAGCCAGACCCCTTTTCTTAGCCCAACTTCCTGCTGACGTGCATGTTCCAGGTGCGAAATACAAGACAGTGTCCGTGGCAAAGATGTCTACATTATCCAGACGGGCTCTGGCCACGTCAACGATCACCTAATAGAGCTCTGCATCATGATCTCGGCATGCAAAATTGGATCGGCCAAGCGAATCACGGCCGTCATCCCTCTGTTCCCCTACTCGAGACAGCCCGACGTACCCTACAAGAAGGCCGGTGCCCCCTCATCCAAGCTGAACCGGGCCTACACCTTTGACAGCGTCCCTCCTACGCCCGCCGCTGGCCCCTCGAAATCATTTGGCGATGCCAGCAACAGGCTCAACGGGATCGAGAGCCTGGGTGATCGCCTAGGCTCCACTAAAATCTCCGAGATTCCTGACGGAGACGAGACTGAGGCCCCACTACCAATGGTACCAAGCCCGTCAATGGCGTCAACGGTGTCAACGGTGTCAACGGCACTAACGGCATCAACGGGACAAATAGTGCTGTCGCCAAGATTGAACGCCCACGACACCCGTTCGTAACGGCGTGACGAACGGCAATGGACATTACGTGAATGGCAATGGCCACGCCCACAGCAACGGCAACGGCACGAGCACGCCCTTCCGCTACACCACACACGACTACGAGAATCAGAACAACATTAATGGGTTCCAAGCGCGTCCCGGGTACAAACAATGGATTGCCCAAGCTGGTACCTTGGTCGCCGACCTTCTAACTTGCTCGGGTGCCGATCATGGTGCGTATTGGATCTTTGAAACCCCTCGAATGATGCATCTGAACTAACCACCAGAATTTGGACAGTTATCTCCGTGGAATTGCATGATCCGCAATACCAGGGTTTCCTCGACTGCCCTTTCGACAACCTTTACGGAAAGCCGACGCTCCAGCGATATATCAAGGAGTCGATTCCTGAGTGGAGGGAGGCAGTTATTGTCAGTCCTGATGCCGGAGGTGCCAAGAGGGCCACGGCGATTGCCGACGCCTTGTGCTTAGACTTCTCCCTCATCCACAAGGTAAAAATGTCCTTCGGCTGCAGTAGCACCGCTTTCCCCAAACTTACCAGTGACTCTTTGCAGGAACGACGCCCCACCAAGTTTAGCGAGCGAAGCAGTTCAACGATGATGCTGGTGGGTGATGTGAGACAAAGTATGCATTCTAGTCGACGACATTGTCGACACTGCCAACACAATCACACGCGCGGCCAAGCTCCTAAAGAAGGAGGGTGCCCTCAAGATCTACGCTTTGTTGACCCACGGCGTAATGAGCGGAGATGCCCTTAGTCGCATCAACCGGTCTCCCATTGACAAGATGGTTGTCACCAACTCGGTGCCCCAGGATGAACACCGCCGACTTTGCCCCAAGCTTGAAGTACTCGATATCTCGCACATTCTAGCTGAAGCTATCCGACGCTCCCACCACGGAGAGTCGATCAGCGTACTTTTCCAATACTGATCATCAGACGTTTTATCATGGCGGGTCTCACTTGTCTCTTTTCATTTATACGCGCATCTCTTTCCCCTTTGTCTCATCACGGCCGCGGCTCTTTTTTTCCCGTTCTTCTTTTCTTTTATATCGGCGTCAGACTTGATTGCCGCTCCAAGTTTGCATGAATGTGTTTGGTTGATCCATCACATCAAAACTCTGCAAACGGAATTGCATCGGAACGTTCCCGGGCGTCACCAGCTCTCCCGGATGCTTCTGCCAACTCATACATACCATTGACATTAAAACAGGATTTGCTCTATCTCGGACGTAAGGGACAAGAAAAAAGAAACAAGAAAACAGAAAATGGAGGAGGATGGCTTCGCTTTTTCATGGGCTGGCTTGGAGAACACATTTATACTGCTACACCCTCTCTGGATTTTTGGGAACGGGACGAAGAGAAGAAGAAGGAGACGAGACGCCCTTAAGAACGGAGACCAAAAAACCAAGCGCGTTGTTTGACACCCTTTTTCTTAACTCTGCGAAGGGAGAAGGAAAGGGTTTCCAGGGCAGATGACGGTAGTCGTTATTATCCTGTCTAGCACCGTTTCTTGTTTGTTTTCTTCTCTCTTAGGTTTCTCGTGGTTCTTTGACATCGTCGCCTATTTTCTTTCTCCGTCTCATTTGCTATGCTCTTTTCCAAACAAAAGGAAAGCTTGACATAGAGTGTCTCCTTCTGTCTACAACAGCGCAACAGAACAGACTCAGAAACCACAGCGCCTAACGTCTCTCGCCCCCATGTCCCAGTCTCTAGAGTCTCCACAGGTCCCCTCCCCGTCTCCCGTTCTGTTCTTCAGTCCCTGTCCAACGATGCGGGTGAACCATGAACAATTAGATCGAGGAAAAGGATTTACGGGGAACCTCTGTCGGATCGGCTGGCTGCGGAAACCTGTTGAAAGATGGGGGCGGTGGCAGAGGGTGAGTGGAGAAGGGGCTTTCTCCTGTCTCCCTGATCTTGCTACGCACAGCATGCAGCGGTACGCTGTCATGGCCTTTTTTTCTTTTCTTTAGGGTTGTTTCCTTCTTTTCCCCTTGTCCTATCACCCCGTCCCTATATATCATTTCTCTATCTCTCTCTCATAGACCATAAGAGAACCGAAGACTCAGCTCCAAGGCGATCGGAATTCCGCAAGCAAAGAAGCGAATGTCCAGTTCGTGCCGTCTCTACAGAGCGCCATGGTTGCGTTCGATTCCGAACCCGACGGGAAGCGGGGACGGTGGATTCTAAGCTTACCAACCTGGTTTACGCGGACCTCATTCCCTTCCCCTGTATATTCTCTTTGGCAAGCATCCTCCATCATGTCTGGATGGCCCGTGCCGAGAGTTTTTTTTTTTTCGTCGCAGCGGGATTTTCTGTTTTTCCTCTCTTTTTGGTATTTTTCTTTTGGATTCTCCTTCTTCGCATCGTTGTCGTTGTCATAGATCTACAGGTTCGGGTTCCGGCGGGGACGGTTACAATTTTGCATGCACGCATTCTTACACATACACTCATACACATATACACATATACATTTCGGATATAGAAGGTTTCTTTGGTTTCTTTTTCTTTTAGCTCAATCTTTGTTCGGCATCATTAGCGAAGGGGGAGGCATGGTGCTTTTCGTCCACGCGACGCTCGCGCGCCTACGGACAGACACATTACGCATCCCATGCTTGGGCAAAACTACTATCAAGAGGCAATGGTGTAGCCCAAGTGGAAGAAGGAAAGGGAAACAAAATTACACGATGTTGTTGTTTTAACTGTACACGAATAACAAGGGACTGAACCGAGGAGAATACAGAATCTCTTAGACTGGGGGAACATTAGTTGAGCAATCAACGAGAGCATACGGCTCATTTTACTTATACTTTTCCGTGTTTCCCCATTGTCTCGTCTTCCCGTAAGCGGGCCTTCTCGTAGAGACTAGCTAGTCCTGCATTTCCTCAAGATCGAGCCCGTAGACACCTACTACACGGGTTATAAGAGAGATGGCCTACGTCAAACGCTCTCTACTCACACATCCATCCATGTAGGATGCTGACATGGTTATGAACTAGAAGGATAGCAGCTAGAAATACTCGGCCATAAGTCTGTTATATATACTGGCCTTCTTCCTTGTCTTTTGTCTATTACTTGATACCCCGGTAGCTTCTATTTTTCCAACGTGCCGTGGGGAAAGGGGGAATCCCAAGAGTGCGGGGAGTGACACAAGGAAATAAACGGATCCTGCGATAATGACACGAACACGAAGAAAGAGAAATGCAAAACCATCTTTCACAAGTGACGAGAGATGACAATAATAAACAAATGCAACAGCGATGCTCTCCCCGCTGTCTACTCTCGTCACCGACAAACAGTCAATTCAAGAACATGCTCATCTCATCATTGTCCACGATCAAGGGGTAGCTTCAAACTCTTCGCCGCGTGGGTTATATCCGTCCCCCTCGTGTCCGTTGATCTCTCTTGAATACCGCTCGAGCTGGTCCGCAACATAGCTGTGCAAGCGGGGTCGACTTCGCGATTATGACCGTCGCCGTTGCGATGGTCATCATCCTCATCGTCGTCATCAGCATCATTGTCCTCGTCGCGGATGCCTAATCCAACCGCCGACTGGGCATCCGACTGGTCGTAAAAGTCGCTGCGTACACCCATCGAGCGCGCAGTCGAAGCCCTCCGTAGTCTGGGCGGCTTGGAGTAGTTGAGGGTGTGGCGTCGGAACACCTCATCAAAGTAATAGTCAAGGCCAACCGAAGGAGTTCGGGGCGTCTGGGGAAGACGGCAACTCATTCTATAGAATGGTCAGTATCTCACTGTTAACACGCACATCCCATGCCCAGAGAAGAAGAAGAAGAAGTGGCGTAAAAGGGACGAAAACAAATCAGGACACCTTACCCAGTATCGTGAATCATCCTAGCTATGAGGCCCGTCCAGCCGCATTGATGAGTGGCACCGAGGCCGCGCCCCGAGTCTCCGTCAAACAGCTCGTAGAACCACAGGTAATCCTTCCAGTGTGGGTCAAAGTCGTACAGATCGTTTCCGCCATTCATGCTCCGCCGGCCCTCGTCGTTGCGGGTGAAGAGGTGCTGGAGCCTGTGCTGCAGTTCCTCCGACACGTGGCCGAGATGCATGTAGTCGCCGCTGCCGGTGGGACACTCGACCTGGAACTCGGGCCCGTAAAGAGGTAGAAGCGTTGGAGAGCTTCTATGAGCAAGAAGTTGACGCAGAGCCAGATGGGACCGCGCCAGTTGCTGTTGCCGCCAAAGACGCCGCTATCGGAGTCGCCGGGCACGTACGAGACCTTGAATTCCTGGCCGTTGACATTCATCTGGAAGGGATTCTTTTCGTGGTGCTTGGAAAGCGAGCGAATGCCATGCTCCGAGAGGAATTCGTTGGGGTCCAGCATCTTGCGCAGAATCTTTCGAGTCGATCCTTGCTGACCATGGCCAAAAGAACCCTGTTTCCCTTGCCACGCTTGCGAATGCTCGCCATGTTGCGCTCCGCGATATCGCACCTGTTCTTGGTGAACCAGTCCACCCGCCTCTTGAACGAGGGCAACTTGTTGATCAACTCGGGCTCGAGTGTTAGCGTAGCGTACAAGGGAATCAAGCCAACGAGCGACCGGACGGGAAGCTGCTGGTTGTGGGGACCGCCCCAGGATATCGCGTCGTAGTAGAAGCCGTCTTCCTCGTTCCACAACGACTTTTCGTCCTTCTCGCCCGTCCTGAAAGTCATGGCATCGCTGATGAAAATGAAGTGCTCGAAAAATTTGGACGCAATGTCCTCGTAGGTTCGGCGGTACTTGGCGAGCTCCAAGGCAATGTTGAGCATGCACAGGCAGTAAAATGCCATCCATCCGGTGCTATCCGCCTGCTCGAGGGTGCCTCCGGTCGGCAGGGGTTCCGAGCGGTTAAAGATGCCGATATTGTCGAGGCCGAGGAAACCGCCTTCGAACAAATTCTTGCCCTCCATATCCTTTCGGTTGACCCACCAGGTAAAGTTCATCAGCAGCTTCTGGAAAACACGCTCGAGGAAGTCGAGGTCTTGGCGTCCATACATCTTGCGCTCCATCTTGAAGACACGGAACGTGGCCCAAGCATGCACGGGTGGGTTCACATCTTCGTAATCCCATTCGTATCTACCAGCGGTTGTTAGCATTGACCTCCCTGAGAGGGCCCCCGTTGAAGAGGGTACGGGAGGGACATCTTGGGGTACAGTTCACGAAATCGTAGAACAGGGGGAAGAAAGAAAGGCGGACAAACATACGCAGGAAGCTGCCCGTTGGGGTGGCAGTACCATTCTCTGGTGAATAGATCTAGCTGCTTCTTGGCAAAGTCTGGATCGATCATGGCCAGAGTGATACAATGGAAAGCAGTATCCCAGACGGCGAAGAAGGGGTATTCCCACGAATCCGGCATGGAGAGAATGTCGTCGGCGTGCATATGTCTCCACCGCATGTTCCGTATCGCCTTGCGCTCTGGCGGAGGGGGCGGTTGGGTCGGGTCACCGTTGGCCCACTGGTCGTAGATGAAGTAATAGTGCTTTTGCACCACATCATTCCGGAGAACGCCTGGCGTTGGATGTTGCGCAAATCATCCGAAATGGGAAGGGGGCTAATTTTGTAGTAGAATTCGTCGGCTTCATCCTTGCGGGCGTCGATAATGTTGTCAAACTCTTCCTCGTCTAAAAAGCTATCGGTTCGCTTTGTGAGGCGGAATCGCACGACTATCAAGGAGCGCTGTTAGCTTGGGGATGAAGAAGGACCACCGCTAACCTTTGGCCGGCGCTCAGGAACACATTGCAAAGTGCATGGAGGCACTCAAGGAGGGGAAGAGGTTTTGGGCAGAGGAGGAGGGAAAACGAAGAAAGAAAGAAAAAAAAAAAAAAAAGACCCAGGGAAGAGATGGCCAAGAAAATGCACACATACCTGCACACTCGCCGGGAAGCACGCCGCCGTCGTCGGTGAACTGGTACCAAGCGGCGCACTTGGTTCCCTTTTGGGCGGGGTTGATGGCGCCCTTTTCCTTTCCGACGACATGGCGGTGGAAAGCGTCCTTGACGTATGGCACTTTGTTCTTGCCCTCGTAGAGAAGTTCAAAATTGGTGTCATTTTCGGTAAAGAGCATCTCCGGGAGGACGTCGTTGCCGCTGGAGCCGACGCCGGGGAGGGCGACAAGAGGACGTAGCGGTCGCCGAGTTTGTGGTGGCGAGCCTTGGCCATATTTTCGGCGTAGGCTCCGATGGAGGGCTTGTCCTCCTCAGGCTCGCGGCCCCAGGCCCAAGTGTTGCGGAACCAAACGTGAGGGAGGATGTGGAGGGGGCAGGGTCGGGACCGCGATTCCAAGCGGTGACGCGAAAGAGGAGCTCATCGGGGTCGTTTTCTTCCTTGGCGGTCTCGATGAAGATGTCCCAGTACCTGTCTTCTTCAAAGATGCCTGTATCATACAGCTGGTATTCCCTCTCGTCCTTTCCTCGCTTCGCGTTCTCGTCGATTAACTGCTGGTAGGGGAACTTTTTCTGGGGGTATTTATACAGGAATTTCATGTACGAGTGCTACACAATTATAGGTCAGCTACGAGCCTCGCGTAGGACGAGTCGGCATGGGGGAACGGAACGGGAAGAGGATGGCATAGGGGAATTTCGCATACAGTCTAGAGGTTGTAAAAGGTTAGTGAAAAGGAGCTCCAAGCTGGCGGGGAAGGCCAGCAGCGCTGCGAAACGGGGGCGGGTCACTTACAGGAACGTTGTCAAGATGAAAATGCGCCTCCTTGACACTTTCGCCGTGGTTTCCCTGGGGGTTCGAAAGGCCAAACAGCCGCTCCTTTAAACGGTCACTACATACAGTTAGCCCTGATCAACATCTTTGTTTAACGCACCCTCTACCAAGTAAAGGTGAAAATTGGGGGAAAGTGATGGCGAGAGGGGGTTCACTCACTCCTCTTCGTTCCAAAAGCAAAGGCAACATTCATAAAAGTGTGGGTATCCGACACACCAGCGATACCGTCTTCGCCCCAGCGATAGGCGCGGGATTGGGCGTGGTCATGAGGGAAATCTGTCTCGAGCAAGACGAGAAAAACAAATCGTCGCAATGGTCAGCTTGCCAGGATTCGCCATGCCGACTTCGCGGGAGGGTTTGGAGCTCCAATTGCTCCGATTCCGCACATAGAGAGAAAAAGGGTTTAAGGGAGAGACTTACGAGCCCAGGCATCGCCATTGGCGCTGTAATCCTCTCGAACTAGATTCCCAAGCTTCGGTCAGTATCCTATCCCCCGCGAAAAGCTTCTTCTCCAGCTTCCTCTCCAGTTCTCCTCCACGGGGCGCCCTCGCAGCAAACTCACCAGTGCCCCATTGCCTCTCAGGCACGTAGGGGCCCCACTTCTTCCAAAACTTGGTCCTCTCGCGGTCCTCCTTCAACCTCTGCTCCTCCTTGGTGAGGAAGTCGTCGCCATTGTGGTGGGCGGACATGCTGCCGGGCGCCGGGGGCGGTTCGGGTTTCGCTTTTTGCTTTTTTCTCGTCTCGTTCGTTCTTGGGCGAGGGAGTGAGGGGCCGAGGATATTTGGGGGAAAGATTGGAGAGCAGGAGAAGCAGCTAGGCGAGTGTCGGTGTTGGGCGAAGCTCACGGCGGGCGGGTTCGAGCAAGAGATAAGGGCCGGGAGATAAGCTTGTGACCGCCTAATACCTAATACTTGCCCGAAACGAAAAGCTCAACTAAGCAGGGGCTATAGTCCACGGAGCCGAGCGAGGGAAGAAGAAAAAGGTAAAAAAGATCAGGGTGGCAAATACAGGAAGAAAAAAACAGGAACCGAAGACGGCTTGGTGTGTGTAGCTCAGAAGTACACTCTATCGGTTGGAAAGCGCAGGCCTACAAAATCAATCCAAAAGGAATAGATGTATATGGATGCTAGAGGGGAAAGACAATGGAGGAAGAAAAACCCCGGTGAGAAGGAAGGGAAAAGCAGGAAAAGAAGGGAGATTATTTTTTTCTCAACCTTCTCGGGTCACTTTTGAATCACGGTTACGGTGAAGAAAGAGATCAATGGCGAAGCGGGCAGAAACAGATTGGGAGCCCAAAATTGAACCATTGATAGCTTTGGCCCGGCCGCTGCCCGGTGAGCAAGCAGGAAGCTAGCGAGGGCGGAATAGGAAGGGGGTGGGGGGGTCGGAGGGGAGGAAAGGACTGGTTGGCTTGGAAGCAAGCAAGCTGGAGGCGGGCAGACAGCATTGAGCGGACTAGGACTAGGACTAGGACCAGGGGCAGCAAGCAGCGAGCAGCAATGGGCAAGGAACAAGGAGCATGGGGCACAAAGGACGGACTTGCTGCTGCCGGATGACGTCTTCGCAGCTCCTCGCCGCCCCACTCTTTTCTCCGATGCGGGGCCCAGCACCAGAAAATTGCGAGCAGAGAGCAGAGAGCAGAGAGCAGAGAGCAGAGAGCTTCCGTTTGCAGGGAACAGTTCCTACACCGAACAGCTCCGCTTGTCTCACAGTGCTCTCTTCTGTTTCCCTTTTTCGGTCCTGCATCAAATGTGAAGAAGGAAGAGGAAAGGAAAATGGCCACACTAGATCTACACGGATGAAGAAAATAGATTCACGGCGACGCTGTTGGGAAAACGAGATCCACCCGATAGATCAATACTTGCCGACTTCAACACTCACCCGTCACTACACGACAGACCTCTCCTCAGTACCCTCGCCCGCCGAAGCTCAATCAATGCTCCAAAAAAGTGCGCCATCCCAGTGGCGGGATAGCAACCTCGAAAAGAGGGTGTCGAGCCAATCCCCCTGATCTCCCCTCCATTTCCAAGTTTAAACCCGCCTGCACCTACCCCTCTCGGGAAGCCAGAGTTTTTTTCTTCTCTCTCTTTTTTCAATTGAATTCTTAGTTCCTTTCGCTAGAGCGCAATGGATCGATCGAAGAAAAGGGGGCGGTGGGACGGTTAAAAAGAAACTCAAAGGCACAGCTTTTATCATACACTTGGCGCTCGCGCGAAACCTCCCCCACATGTTTAGTGCCCTTGTACAGGTGGTGGAAAACAAAGACAAAGATCATTTATCCTGTGAAACCTACGAAAAAGCCCGAGATTTCGAACAGGGAACACAAGCAAGAGTAGAAGAAAAAGAAGAAAGAGAAACACTGGTTCATCCTCGTTCCGCCAAACATGGCAACATGGCCCTGCCTCCCTCTTCTTTCCCAACGAACCTGTTCTCAGCCAAGCGCTGTTTGTTAGCTTGTCCCTTTCTTCATTGCCCCGACTCAAGACTCGAGAGAAGATGCAGTTCGCAGGAGCTTCAACGCCCATGTCAACATGCACACCCTCGCCCAAGTCCTTGACGTATGTACAAGCCTCAAGAGCAGGGCGGGGGTTGATAAACCAACAGTCCCAGGGAGGGCGTCGTTAAAAATTCTCATCTCGACGTAGTGCAGGTCGCCCACCTTGCAGTAGATCAAAGTTGATCTCGTTCCTCAAACCTCCGATCCAACCAAGCAAGCAAGCAAGCTTCTCCCCCGTCCCCCATGAACAAGCCCAGCTCCGCTACCCGAGCCCAGTTTCCTTGATTCTCGGCACACGAGTGCACCCGCTGCCCGTGCGCACCTTTGCCTTAAGAGTAGAATACTCGTAGCTGGCTCAATTGATCAATCTGATTTGATGCGTCAAATTCCAATTGAGCTAATATTTCAAGTATTATTCTTACAAGGAAAACGAGCTCCATTCGTCTGCTTGTCACATGCATCCATGGATCTATGTTTTCCTTGTGTCCGGGCACGTTTGCCCATTGTGTGGGCCCTCGTCTATTGTCTACATGGACGCATGGATGCGCCTACATCATCGCGCAGAGCACCCCTACCCCTCCGCTCTTCACGGTGCAAGAGCACCCCAGCCCGAACAAGAGAAGAAAAGCAAGGAGAACATAAGGACCAACCCGAAAAGAAAAATAACACCCCTCGCACGAGTTTTGACGTATTAGCTCCCACCCGAGATGAATATCACAAGCAAAGGAGACTGCCGGGGACGCGAGTCGGCGTTAAACAACTGAGCGTACATGTAACCCCCAAACGTGCCACGAAAATGTAAAAGGGCGATAGAAAGCAAGACAGAGTCCAAAAAGGTTAATCCTTATTACAAGGGGTATATATTATGTTACATCAAGACATCATCGCGAAAGCCCTTGTCAGTGCTCGATGCAGTAGCATCCTTGGACTAGCGATCCCGTCAACGCACACTGCACCACACTGCACACATGTGGGAACGCTCAACATCCAGAGGCATGTATGTCGTTCTCTCTCTCTCTCTCTTCTCGCCATGTTTGCATCCATCCAGAAGAGGACATGACCTGGCTCTGAATACATGGATGTCATGCCCCACAAGAGAAAACGGAAATAAAACATAGACAGAAAAACAAAACAAAGGCAACAAGCTCCAACGAATAAATAACCTTTTTGTCCTCTTGAGAGGCGCGTAGGGACGACACACGTGTGTATATCATCATGTAAATACTGTACTAGATAACCAAAAGCCAAAAAAAGCACTCTTAACCCACCAATGCCTATCCTTCAAAGGACGTAGGCAAAAATCCCTGTCGTGTCCGGTCATATCCCAAAGATCTGAAATGATGGGGAGGAAACAAAATGATAAAATCAAAAGTCGATGGTAATGTCGGGGCGGCTGTTGTGTTACCGGTCCGGTATGTCTTCTTTGGCGTGTGTGCATGTGCACCCTGATAGGTGCCAGTGTTTTGTGACGGCTACATCGCCGAGAAAAGGCCTCGCTCGTTTTTTGTGTCTTTGTATCACAGGCCTCTCGCACTACAACGCGCGTCGCATCATAATCGTCTGGTGGCCATGGGAGCCTCTTAGCTCTTGGCGAACCAGGGAAACTTCTTCTTCCCCAGTTCCGTAGCACTGCCGCTCGGGGGCTCGACCTCGATACTCCTGTCGTAAATCTCCTACATTGTCAAGAGTCAGGTTAGCACACACATTTCCAATCTCTCTTTACAAGACGTTTCCGGCTTGTTGCCGGAGGACCATCTTTCGCCTCCCCCACCCCGCATCACGTACCTCGTCGTCCGCTGGCATCCTGCAGTCCAGGATGAGTTCCCTAGCGCTATCATGCTTGCCCAGTTTCCCATACGGCGTCCCCTGGCTCTTCATGATGGGCAAAATCACTTCGCCGAGCACTTCAAACTTCTTCCAGTTGATGCGATCCCCGTTGGGGCCCACCATCGTCTTGCTGCCCTCTTCCGCGCTGACCAGGTCGCGTCGGTGGAGGGGCACAAACGGGATCCGCGGCAACGGGGAATTCTCCCACGCCAGACGATACGCAAAGTGGCTCTTTGCGTACCCATGAGAATGACGAGCCGCGCAAAGTTCTTTTGCACGTCGGCCGGCACCAGCGCTCGCGTCTGCGCCAGCCGGTGGACTGCTGTGCCGTTGATGCCTGCCAGCACCGCCGCAAGACCATTGTAGTTGTTGAGCTGCCGCAGCTTCATCGCCACATTCATAAACTTCTCCAGCATCTGCGCGCGGTGCTTGGGCTTGTCGCGGAGGAGCACCATGTTCGCTACCCACTTGGCCACGTGGTTGAAGTGGTTAATCATGCGGTTCACGTTCTTGAGAGACCGGCACCTCTCCTTTTCCTCCGCCGAGAGCGCAACGTGCCGCACAAAGTCGCGGATCCGAATCGACGAAAACATGACCCAATCGATGCGCGTCATCTCCTCCGCTACCTCGCCATCCGGTATCGCCATGAAGGAATGATAGCGCGCCTTGATCATCGGGAGGTGGCCCGTCGGCTCGAGCCTCATCGCTTGCCGCTCATACTCTTCGTACTGCTGGATCTGACTCTGACCCGTAAAGTTGCTGACCGTTGGGTCTACCGAGCCGAAACCTCCCGAAGCCGCGGATCCTCGTCGGTCGGCTGCCGCCGCCGCCTCGTCGTCGAGCCGTAGGCTGCTAATGCCGCTGAGCGTGTCCTTGAAACCACCCTTGCCGGGATCCTCGAGCGAGTCCGATTTGGCCCACCAGGTATCGTCGTCCTCCACCACGTTGAACTCGAGGTACCGCCGGATTTGCTGCGCCGAGGTGAAGAAGATGGGTTCCGTCGAGAGATGCTTGACAAATTCCAGGAGCTGCCGCTTCGTCGCGGGCCGTGCAAAATCCCCGGGTAGAGAGACACCCATTTGGCAACCACCTCAATCATGCGCAGCTGCGTTGCTGTCTTGGTCAAGTAGTGCGCCGAATGGTCATCTCGCACGACATCCATTCGATCAAGAATGGCCGAGAAGAGCTGAAGGGGCGGGGCAAATTGGCGATAAAGGCACAAAAGGATGTCAGCGAACCCATGGTCGGCCTTGGTCATGCGCGGCGCGACGAGGCGGTCGACGAGGTCGTCGAAGCTCACGCCCGCAGCCTTGGCCGGCTTCTCTTGTAGGGTGTCGTCGTTGCGCTGCAAGATGGGTATGTCGTCGGAGTACCGGTACGACTCGCCGTCGGACTCGTCCATGTCTAAAAAGGTGTTGTGGGCAGCCAGGTCCAGCCTGATGCCTGGGGTGCGTAATTGGTTCGAGACGCTCTGCGACGAGCCCCCATCGGCGGGGTCAGAACCGTTGAGCGAATTAGACGAGGGCGCGGGGTTGAGGTCCAGGCGGGGGCTGCGCGAAGAACCTTGACGATACTGATCGCTCGAGATCGGGGATTCGGAAAACCGCGTAGAAGCGACAAGTCAGAGCTTGCTCGGCTATGCTTGCTTTGTTGGCTGAGGGGCCGGCCGGTCTTGGGGTCGACGGGTGTATCAAGTTGGGCGACGGATGCCGCGCGGCGACGCGACGCACCACCTTCGGCAGAAGCTTCTGGTACAAACCCCGAGAAAAAGTCAATTGAGGAAAATTACGACAAGCAAACAATCATCACGGGTTCAGGTTCAGGACAGAGAGATGGGATAGAGAATAGAGAATAGAGGATCGAGGATAGAGGGGGCTGGTGGTTGTGATAAAAGGGAGGATTCGCGGGGAAGGGAATGAGATGTCAGACAGGTGTAAGCACACTAGTCCAGTTATTTTTCGTGGTCTGGTATTTTTCCACCCCTTGGCGGCTCTTTCCGCCAGGTGTCGTTCATGGCAAAGAATGCGGGAGCACGCGGAAAAGTAATGGAAGGGAGCGGGCAAGGCGTGAGCATTAGCCGGGAAGGGGAAGTAGGAGGCAAGGGGGTGAAGGAGCTGAGGGGAATGGAACGTGGGAAAAAAGGTGTGGGTGGTATGTGAGCGTAGGTAGCGTGTAGTTGGTTCATGTGGCTCCATGTAGATAGGCGCATAACAATTGACCAAATCCATGCCATGTACGTGTGTGTGCGAATGCGAAAGCCGCCGCACCCGCACTCGCACCTGCACCACGCACAGCACACCACGCACTGCACACCACACACTCCGCTTCACGCATCTCGCATCTCGCATCTCGCATCTACACACACCAAACGTCAAACAACATACCTTTGCGGTTCGCAATTACGGTGCGAAGAATGGTGTTGAGGCATGCGCGAGAATGTTCCGGCTTCTTCGATGAGATGTTGTAGTTGGCCACGCAAGCCTTGAAGAAGTCGTGACTAGCCATGCCCTCAGCGTCGACCTGTCTAGCGTTTTCTGAAGCATCACACTTGCACGCAACGAGAATCGAGGGGAGCCCCGAGTTTGTCAAAGCAGCTGCAATCCACCGAGTCCAATTGCCATGATTAGCGAAACAGTCGTCACAAAAGGCAAATGCGTGATGAGAGAGAAGAACGAGAGGAAGAAAAAAGGAAGAAAAAAAGGGCAGGCAATTTTTCGTACAATGGACGGGCAACGAAGCCATCTATTTGTACGAGAGCTGAGGATGAAGGATTGGGCCAATGGTGTCAGGATCATGGCTTGGGTGGAGAGGGACCAATCTCATCGTGAAAACTGTGGCAGCGGGCCACTTCACGGGCCAACCACCGACGAGCCCAAGGTCGGAATTTTCATCCAGTTGCGCGACTAGCGCACGCAACCATGGGTATAGGATGCGTTGTATAAGGGTCTTCAAACAAAGAAAGGAAGAACGGAGGGAATAAAGGTAGCACTACCGAGGTAGCTGGGACTCGTTTCCACGACACGCAATGAACAAGGGGGTAGGGTCGAACTCCAATTCCTTAACACAGGGTGATATACAGGAAAAGTTCGGAATCGGGATATATATACACTCGTATATATATATATATATATATAGATATATATAATATAGATATCCATTATATCAAGGGCAGCCAACGTGGAGGGGAGCCTCTCTCCATCTTTCCCCAAAACTCGGTCCGCGGAATAAACGAGAAATGACTTACCCAACGTCCGCGGTAAATCCATAATTGTTTCCTTGTTCGTTACATCATACAATATTAGGGCGCCATCAACCCTCGGCAAGATATGGCCATTGATCTGCTTCGGCCACTGTATGGGCTGGGAAGGGGCCATGTCAAAGTGTTCGAGGTCGAGCTCGAGGAGAGTCACGGCATAGTTTTGGTTGTCGATAATCATGCGCAGGTTCGACGAGTTTGATATCGGGGGCCGCGATAAGCCTAGGACGCGCTGGACGAAGGACGACTTGCCCACGCCTCGGGCGCCGATGATGGCAATATTAAGCGCCTCCATGCTCAAATTGGGTGACGAGCCGGAGAGGCGAGCTGTTGGTGTCGAAGGTGACGTCGCTGTTGATGACTGCTGTTTGTCGGGTGGCGGAGGGTTCAGGTTAGTCCTGTACACCATCTTACGATGACCGTATAATAGAGGTTTGGTTCGTGTGAGTGGGCAAAGATAACAGGGGGTGTGATGCGAGGACAATTGAAGAAAGTTCCGTAAGAAAGGAAGGAAATAAATAGGGTAAAGAAGCTATTCGGACAAGAGATGACGAGTCGTCCCAGCCACGCAGCATCGATCCCTATGCACTCCTAGCATTAAAGCAGGGCAGGGCGGTATTATCAACCGAAGGCAAGGGGATGAAGGTGATAGGGTCAAAAATTCGGAATGAGCCACTCCGTTCAAAGCTGGGGACGTGGCCTCAGGGTCCCCCGAAACACAAGTGGAGGGCAAGGCAAAAAGAAAAAGAGAAAAAAAAAAAAGGCAAGAAACGCGAATTCTGAAGGGGCAAGCTATTCATGCGGGGTAGTGCCCCGGAGGTGGTTCATCCACAGAGAGAAAAGGAAAAAAGAGTTTCGGCGCGGGGGCCACCTGTCAACTGCTCGAGGAATAGCACTTGAGGGAAGCAAAAGGGTAAGGGGTAAGGAGAAAAGAAAAAGAGAGCCCAAGGATCAAGACCAATTGGGCATAGGCGGTGTTTGGAAAACACGAGGTGCCTAGTGCACTAACTACTAGTGCAGAATGGGGACAAAGGCGCGAGAATTATAGAGAGGGGAGGGGCAGCTAAAAAAGGATCGACGTGGGCTTGAACTCACCCAAGGCGAAGGTGGGACTGCAATGCTGGCAGACTGAAAACGACCTATTGTCAGCGACTCTCTCTTGGGCTGAGGCCGTTTGTAGGATAATTGGCGGTTCGGGTTTTGCGACAAAGGGCGAGAGGCGGAAGTGGTGACGGTGGCGGTGATGGCGAAGCCGACAAGGAGGAGGGATTTCGGGCAGGGTGAGGTTCGTCGTTGGGAATCGCAGCGCTGGGACTGTGGTCGTTTTCGTGTCCGAATTGACCGAGATAGTCGGCGAATTCGTCGAATTCGTCGTCGGTGATGTGTTGGTCAAGGGCGAGGTCGAGTTCGTCGAGGATGGAGTTGACGTTTCGGGCGGGGAGGTCAGCGTCGCCACTGTTACATGTGCCGACCCCGTGCTGAGCCCCGTATCGATCCCCGTGCGCGGAGCCTAGACCCAGCGGTTGCCAGAGAAATTCTTGTTCCTGCTGCCGACTTGGTTGGCCGTGGCTTTGCGCCTGTTGCGTCTGTTGCGTCTGTTGCGCCTGTGCCTGAATTTGCGTCTGCACTTGTTGGTGATGGTGATGAGGCTGGTACTGAAGCTGGTGCAAGTGCTGCGGTTCCCGTGGTCGGTGTTGGTGCTGGTGCAGCAGCTGCTGTTGTTGTTGCTGGAGGTGATGCACGTCCCAACGTTCGGCTTCGTCTTCCGACTCGGCAACGTCTACGTCGAGAAATCCCCGCTCTCGGTAGCCCTCTTCCACTTCCCTCTCCCTTTCCCTTTCCCTTTCCCTTTCCCTTTGCCCTTGTTGAGGGTAGCCTTTTCCTCCAAGTTTTCCCTAAATTCCTCAAAAGGCAACTCCGAGTCCGAGTCTTGGTCCAACTGCAGCGCCGAGGAACGGGGCGGGCCGACGTCGCGCAGCTTTTGGAAAAACGGGTCGTTGACGATGGAGATGAAGGAGTCTCGAAATGTGGGTGAGGGCAAGCACGATATGACAGAGGTTGGCCTAGAGTCGGCGGTGGTGGCGGACAGCGCGGGAGAGAGGAGGAAGTTGGACGAGTCGTGGTCGAAGAGGGAACGCGGCGTGTCGGATTGGCGCGCCTGGGAGAAGGACGAGGACGACACGGTGGTTTGCTGCGAGGAGCTGCCTTCGGATGCCCTGTTGTTGCTCCGGCCAGCGACGGCAGGAGCTGTGGAAATATTCGAAGAAGCAGCAGCACCAAGAGCCTGGTGGCCCCCGGCGCATGGTGGTGGTGGTCGGTCATATCCGACGTCATCTAAGGGTGTGTGGGTGTGGGTGCGGGTGTGGGTGTGTGGGCTGGGGTGCGGCCCTGAACTAAGGAGCTAGCGCCCCAAAGCCCAGCGGATCGATCAGATCAAATGAATCAACCAGCTGGGAGGAACGAAGGGGAGATTGAAGGACGCCAAATTAAACTGAACGGCACTAGCACAACGGCGCGTTGTGTGCGTGCACTGTCTAGTTCCCTCCTCTTGGGTCGATCTTGGTCTGTTCTCTTCGTTTCTTTTTCCGTCAATTTTTAAACCACCTTTTTGTCCTCTCAAAAGCAGGAAAGTTGCAAATGAAAAAGAAAAGACGGGCCAGGGGAAAAAAAGAAAGGAATAAAAATGAGAGAAGACAAACCCTCCCCCACTGATAGGAAGGAAAGCTGAGGGAATCCCCCGTTCTTGCGCTCTTGCTTTTCAGGGCCACCCTCGCGCGGCGTGAAACCCAACAGCTGATATCTTCAGCCCTCCAGCCCAATCTCAAGTCGTGCGATCTCTCTAAAAGAGGAAATCGGTGACTGAAAAGGGTAAAGGTGCAGGGAAAGGGTACGGGTTGGCCGAGGAGAAGGACGTCGACAGAGAAGGAAAAAGAAAGAAACTCCCCAAAAAAAGAAACAAGTAGCGCAGCGTCGAAGCAAGGGCAGGCACTCCCCGAAAAGGAAAAAACTTGGGTCCCTATTCCGTGGTTGACATCGACTTAGGCGAAGGGGGTCTGCGAAATTACCCCGAAAAGATGCGGATGGAGGGGAGGGGTCTGGGCCGGTGGCTCTCGCTCGCTGTTCAAAGGCCGCTTTCAGTCGCACATGGGGGCCGGAATTCGTGGATCAGCGTTTGTGTCCTCGGCAGCTCGGGGAAACGACTTGGTGAGGCTTTGGCGAGGGGTGCTCTTGAAGTTGGGGATGCTCGGCGGTGTGCAAGACTCGTTTCCGTTCTTCAAGAAAGTGGGTTCGTAAAGGGAGGGGTTCCGGTTCGATGCGGCGGCGCGGATTCGGGGGCGCGTGAGGGAGGGGCTGCACGGTTTGGGTGGGAGCGTGCTGCTGTGTATATATAATGGAGGATGTCTCGAGAGGTGACGCCTTCCTCTTGGGGGACACGGGCGGCGCGGGCTCTTTACGACGGCGAGGCGCGATACACGGTGTGCGAAAGGGGAGATGGAGACGGAGACGAGCGAGCGAGAGAGAGAGAGAGAGAGAAAAGAAGAAGGAAACAAAAAAACAAGATTGTTCAAACAAAAGGCAGGGAAGAAATCGACAAGACGTGCTGTTCCGTCCTTGCTCGTCTTCTTCCAACGTTCTATTCGTTCTCGGCTTCAAAAGACCGAGCAGGTCCCAAGGAAAATTAAACAAGATAAAAGGGGACAGAAATTAACTAGTCAACGAGGGAAATCCACCTCATTGAAACGTTTACAAGATTTTTATCCTCTCTTCCTGCTTGACGGCGACTCCTCCCTTGCAAGGAGGTGCAACGAGAACATGAGAGAAAAAAGGAGGATGGGCCTAAAAGTAATATTACCGGCCCAGTACGGGTAGCATCAGCATGAGCATCCCCAGTCCCAGTCCCCCAACTCACAGTCCCCTTTCCCTTTGGTCTTTCTCGTTGAAAACCTCCGTCCAAGTCTATTTAATGTTACATTGAGAGCAGTAGTTCTCCGGCACCTTCAAAGTCGCCACCCTCCTCCGCCGGCCACTTGCCCTGGTCGGCGGGATTCTTTGCTTCTTTGCATGTATTACACTCCTTTCCTTTTGGCTTCCTTCCTTCCTCTTCGGTTTCTATTGGATTAGTGGGGCTTGGCAAGTGACAAAGCTTCGACAGGATCTGATGCGATGCCCTCCAGGCACTACATGTAGTGTAGTACACTACATACACTACACTACACATCGACAATGATCTAATTATCCTCGAGCCACCACAGCACCGAAGCGCGCTAAGGGTGCCTTTACTCCGTCCACATGTGTTGGTGGAAATGGCCGCAATTTCATCGCTGGGTCGCGAGCACGCGTCGAGAGAGGTGCACTAGAATACATGTCGAGTTGAGCCCCAATCGATCTTATTCATGTTGATCATTGTGTCCTGCTCCCTCGGTATTGGACCTGTGCACCAACTGGATTCTTCCTATGCTGTCTTCTGAGGCTACCCATTCGCCTCGCCGAAATATGCACACATTTATCAAGCACAGGCAAACCCCAGGAGCCCGCCCCAGCAGAAAAGAGCGGTCGCGCTGCCAATTCCAAGGGTTCTCGCTTTTGCCGCCATCTTCAGGCCGGCCCGGCAGGGATGGGAATTCGACAAAGGACGGGCAGGGGTGCGGTTTAATAGGGAGGGGGCAAAAAAGGAACGAGGCTCGCCTCACCCCCGGCTCCCATCCTCAAAAATAGCCAAGGAACTCCTCAAGCGAGCGACACTATCTCGCCGAGTCAGGGTCGAGGCGGAAAAGAAGGAGGGGAGAAGAGATCCAGGAGGTCGAGATGGATCTGCCCAGAAAAAAGAAGAAGAAGAAAAAACGTAAACGTATTCTCATCCAGCCCAACCTCCGAAAGGTCGGCAAAACAGCAACGCTGGAAGAGATGAAAACATAAGAAGGATTCGCGACGCGTGCTTTGTCTCTCTCGAAAAGTTCTTCCAAGAGAGCAGGCACTTGCATTTGCATTCGACCCTTCGAGGTCGATGCTGGGAACGGGACCCTTCTCCCTCGCCTACAAGCGGGTTGGTACCATCCAAACGACAAAAAAGCGGTATCCACACGACTAAAATTGCGTAAACGGCCAGCTGTCCGGGGTTCCTGGTGTATGCCCCGGCTGAAGCCCTGCTCTCTCGCCCAGCCGCCAGGCGCAGGTGCCGCATGCCCCGTGCCACCCCAACCCATGATCTGTATGTTCCGTACGTGTAAGATTGCTCCGGTGCACTTTAGGATTTGATATGAACTCCTTCCTTGCGCAAGTCGTCGAACACTATGAAAAGGGCGGTATTCCTTTTGTGCTCTCTCTTTACGGCATATCTTCTTTTCCTGGAGCTATGACCACGAGCTCTCGCAGATCTCGGCTTGCCTCGAGAAGCTCTTGAGCCGGAAAGGGGAGGTGTAGGAGCATGGAGAGAGAAAAGAAACAAAAAGAACATGGGTGAGCTTCTCGTGTTCAAAGGGAGCCCCATTATCCCAACCTATGATTCGCTTCCTGCCTTGGTTATGAGGAGGACTGACTCTGCCTCTGCCTCTCTGTCCATGTCTCGGCCGTGGCCGGCCGGCAGGAAGGAAAACACGCGCTGACCGCTGTTCCCTCGAACGCTGGCGACAGTCTGATCGATCTCATTTGGAATATCCAGCCTCGGTTCTGAACCCACCGATGAGCTAGCTCGATGCCCACGTTCCTAACGAGTCATGCGTGACCTAAACGTGCTCCCATTCACCGACGCCGGAGGGCGGAGTGTAATATCTCTTAGCCTACCCGTTTGTCCTCTTCACTGACAATGTCAGACCAATTTGAGTTTTTGATTCCCCCTTCTTTCGGTGTTGAAGGATGGGCTGGCCGATGGTACACTCACCCGGATATCACTACCACCACACCAAAGGCAGCCAAGCTAAGGTCCGTCAGTGAGGCGTTTGTCGATCCCGGTTTGGGGCGAGAGCACACCGTCATTGTGATTACCACGATTACTACTACTCCAGGGGACTAGACAAAGTACAAGTAGCATCGAGGTGATAACTGCAAGCATTTCCTCCTTTGGTCGCTCACCGGCCGACCAACCTTCCAAGGTGACCAAGTGCCGGAGAAATTCTGTTTCTCAGCGATAGCTCTCAATAGGCGAGGTAGCGTTTGTTTCTCGCCGCATTTTATCACACCCAATTCGACGAGACCCTTTTCCCGCACCACACACCCAGACCGCACGACTCGATCCCGCTCCACTTCTTGAAGGACAGGACAGCAGAGTCTCGGGTGCGTGCGCCTCGAGCTTTTCGGGGAAAGGGGTGGTCTGTGGACCCTGATCTGCATGTAACGGCGTTCCCCTCCTCCCTTTCCTTTGGTTCAGGATTAGTGTGTGCGTTAATGATTGCTCCCCTCCAATCCCCTGTCCTCGGTTGCGGCCAAGGCTTGATGAAGACTCGTAATCCTAATAGACGCACTGGAACATTTGACAACGACCCACACCTCGCTTGTCGGTTCCTAAGCTAGGTAGGTCCGGACAAACAAACCAAAGGGATAACTCTTCAGTTTCCTTATCACAGCTTCCAGTGAACAATTGTAGAAAATAAGGAAGACGGAAAGGAAGAGGTCGAGAGAAGGAAGAAAATAAAGATAGGGGCTCGGGGTGAGTCAAGCCTGGCCGGATTCGTTCCCCGTCTTGCCCGTGTATGCTTCGGCAGGGCAGGGTGGTCGTGTCCACCATTACCATTGGTCTCGGAACTTTGTGCGTGTGTTATGCAGGAGTGTCTACCAGGACCACCGCACATCATCAACGCAGAGGCCACTTTGCGACAAACCCTTCCTCCAAGCTGATCGTTATTACTCTCTTCGCTTTTGTCAGGTCCCAATGATCACCTGCACCGTTGGTTTTTGGAGATTTAAAGGAGAGAGTGTGTGAGGCGAAAAAGAAAAGAAGAAAGAACCAAAAAGCAGATTATTCTGCCGGCTCCTTTTCTCCTCCTCCTCCTCCTCCTCCTCCTCCTCCGAGTAAGTTGCTCTCTGTCCAAGTGAAACATGTTCACGCACCGTGTTCATTACCGTGTTCAGCAATATCATGGCCAAGAAATAATAATAAGGAAAACTTATTTCCTCGATCGATTGGCTCACGGCGGATTGGTGCTCGACAGGCATCCCCGTCTCACTTGACGCCGTCGCGTGCATCATTTCCCCATTCTCTGCGCCCTGGATCTAGAGCAGCTTGCGAGGCCGGCATCGACGTGCTGATCAAAAACGAGGCCAACCACGCTTTGGAGCCGGAGGATGGTCAAAGAAATTTGGAGCTGCG